ACCCCTTCGCAGGGGTTAGTAATAGTAAGGGTAATAGATTAGTTTTATAAAGGCGATTAGAACGTTATTTAGAATTGTTTGGGATAATAATAGATGTTTCGGTGGAAAGGGTATATCTAGTGATGTTTTGGCTAGTATTTGGCTCCTGAATGGAAGGTTGGGCACTAAGTAGCTTCCTGTCTTGATATGCGGGTTCTGGAGGATATGTGGATCCAGCTTTTTACAGCTTAAGATGTGGATTTATGGGCGCTTTACTGTCTCCCTCGGGCATATCCGGCTCCGCCTAAGGGAAGACTATTTTATTAAGTTAAATCGAAGTTAAAGTAAATAATTATAATTATTAGGATACGGAACGATTTAATTATTAGAATCGCTATGTACGTTTTATATACGCTATTCTTAAATTATTGGTCCTTACATATAATTAAACGTACTTTATATTTAAGGAATTAGCTGTTTTGGTCGAATTTATAAGTATATACCTATATTAAATCGAATATTTCGATACCTTTTATTTCTTCGATACTAATTTACTTTTAAAACTTTTTATTTTTATATTTATTTAGGTATTCTTTTTCTATTGCTTTAAAGAGTTCCTTAAAGAAGTAAGAATTAAGATTACTATAGTATTTTAGAAGAAGTAGAAAGTTAGTTCGATAGAGGGTTTTTAATATACCTTTTACTGTATAGCGGTTAATAATATCCTTTATTATTTTTAATTTAGAATTATAATTAGGATTAATATTGATACTCTTCTCTTTTATTTATTTTAGAAAGGTTTGGTTTATAATTTTATTTCTTTAGAAGTTTATAAATCAATTGCCCTTTATAAATAAGAATGATGTAGCCTAGTAAAGGTATTGATTCATAGTTAGTTATAATTCTTTATTGGAGTAAAAGAGGTTAGTTATTAGAAATGCGGTTAGACTTAGGAGGCGTAGGGAGATAGCCTTTTTTTATTTTTCGAACTTAAAATTATATTTTAGAAATCCGACGGCGATTATACGGGTGGCGATAGTAAGGGCTCTAAAAACCTTTATAATATTTTCAAATTTAGTGGTATTTTTAATATTTACGGGACTTTTGGAGATTTAGATTGTATTTATGTTTCTAGAGACTTTGATTCCTCCTTTTCCCTTAATATATTTTCAGTTTCGGTAGGAAAGTTTTAGATAATAGGGCTAAAAATTCCGTTATTTACGGTAAATATAGCTTCGATTTATAAAATATTTATTTACGCGATATTTATTTGGTAAAGGTCTTTTAATTATATAATATATTTTTTAAGAGAGATAATACAGGTATTATAAATTTCTTTAATATTATTATTAAGGAAGATTTTATTTTTATTTGTTAACGTGTGGCTAGTACTGTGCCTTGTAACTGCCTTGTACTACCTTGTAGTATAGAAGGCTAGTTGAACTATTCCTTCTACGGAATCAGTTGACTCAGTCCCCACAGAATGTACTAGAATACAAGAGGTTTTGCCACTGTATTCTAGAGTCTTATAACTTAGCTAGCATTTCTTCCAGACTGATTTGTCATCACAGGATTCAACAGAAGCTTCTAGATGCTTAGTGTCCATGTATATAGAGACCTCTCCTCTCCTTCAGTTCGTCACTCCTTAAGCAAGCAAGCACAAGTCAAGCAATACAATATAGTCTTTTCTCACAGTGCAGAGTCCACTGTAATCTTCTGTCTTGAGAGCAGAGTCCTCTCTAAGACCTCTTTTACAACATCCTTTTATTGTACTTGCAACTACGCTGCTTCCTTCAGCATTGCTGTCGTACTTCCTACCGCTTCCGCTTCGCTCTGCTACAAGTGCATAGTTCACTGTAGCAACCTTGTACTGGTGCTATCATTATAGGCCAGTCAGGGCACCGCAGGAAACATTATTAAATATAATATTTTGTATAATAATTATAGAATTAGTATAGGGATTCTAGATCTTATAGATATTTATTAATTAGTATCTAATTAAATAGCTGATTTAGGTACGGTTTTTAAATTCTATTAATTTCTTTTATTCTTTTATAGTTTCTATTATAAGAATAAAGGTTTTATAATTATATATTTTAAAGTGTATAATAGTAAGGAAGGGGTTTACTAGAAGAATAATACTGTTTTTGAATTAGTAGTATATTTCGAATCGGTTTTAGGGAGATTTTCAATAATATTCTACTTTAACGGTTAAATTATATAAATATACAACTATTCTAGTAATTTTTACCTATAGTTTGTAAGGAAGATTTATATTTAATTATATTGTTGTACCTTTAGTCTTAATTATACCCCTTAAGCGTTTTATACTACCGTTTTAAATTTATATATAAAGCGCTAAAGGTTTAGTATTAGTTCCCTTAGCGGTAAATTAAGTAGTAATTATCTTATTATTAATTATTTCATTATTATATTCGATTACCCGAAGTACGATTTAATATCAAGTTTATAGCCCTATATAAAGGGATTCTAAATACATAATAATAGACTCGTCTTCTCTATTACCTAAGTAATATACTTAAACGAATTTAAATTACCAGTTTATAATTACTATTACATTTAAATATTTCTAGCCCCCTACTTTTATTTCTTTATAAGAAAAGAAATCGATGGTTAGTTATAACCTAAGGCCCTTTAAATAGTTATAAACTTTTTTATACACCCGGCGCTTTAATTTAATTTTAATATATAGTTCGTAATATATTATATCCAGTCCCTTAAATTGTACGTTATATTTTTATTCTATTAATTTAATTAAAGTTTCGGGCCCTAAGTAGTTAAATTAAAGATATTAGCGAAGGGGCTTACCTTTTTAGGGCTTCTGTTTAGTATAGTTTATATATTGTACAGTAAAAGAAGATTCGTTAGTATTATTCTATAGAGAGATATATTCTAAAATACATTATTTATATTTAGAAAGGATATAATAAATAAGGGAGTTTATAGAGCGGGAGCGTAGATAATTATTTTTATGGTTTTAATAGATTTATTTATCTTTGAATTATTTTAAAGAAATAAGGTTATAAATTATACTCCGTATTAAAACGATATTAGGGAATTACAATTTTCTATTTCTATTATTATCTTAAATTGTAGTTATAATAATACGATACCCTTCTATAAAAATTCATTTATTTCCCGCCTATACATAATTATCAATATTTAAACGGGTAAGGTTTTTAAAGCGATTAATTTTATTGAAGATATATATTATTATATTTAAATTAAAAATTATAGAATTTTTTAGTAGGTATATAGCGTTATATTTCATTATAAGTATTAAGAAATTATTTTTACTTATCCGGCGATTATAAAATTAATTATTTTAATTCTTATTATCCTATTATATTCGTAGACGGTTAATAGCCTCTTTAAGTATTTTATCCTTCTTTAAGTTAATATACGCGCGCTTTTTAATAATAGGATTTTCAATTTGACTTTTATAGACTAACTATGATCTAACGTAGTAGTATTTATTTAAATTATAGCCCGGCTACTTATAAAATTTATATAAGAATTATTGTAGTTGTTTATTCGTTGGTAAGGATAAAGAGAAAGGACGCTTATTTTTATTAATATTGTTCCTAAATTTACTGTTTTTATTTATAGCCTTTCTCTGGTTTTTTACCCTTAGGCTAGGATTTTGATTATCATTAGGAGCGTCCTCTTTAATAAGCTTATTATTTAATATAGTTACAAATGTAGTACCTTTAAATAAAGGGGCGTAACTTTTTCCTTAGGTAATACTCGTTATTATTATTTTATAAAAGTCTTTAGTTATGGTGTGGAAAGAGATTTTAAAATTAAAATTTCTCTCGATTTCTTTATTGTATTAAAATTGATAATTATTTATTTAGGCGGTATAAAGATTCGATTTTATAATTATATAGAATTTTAGGAACTATAAATTTAGTTTATTCATTCTAATAATTCCTTTAATAATATAGAGGGCTATAGTTACTTTTTAGTAAAAGGTTTAATTATATTAATTATAGTTAATTCTATTAAAGGGCTTAAAAATATTAATAAATCTAACCCGGGCAAACTTTTTTATTTTATAGTCGTTAAAAGTAGTAAATTTATTAAAATTATTATACTATTTATATAGATTAATACGTTTAGTAAAATTAATTTCCCGGTAATTATTTTTAATAGTTTTAAATATTTAGTAACTTAGTGTAATCTTCTTAATACCTAAATTAGAAAAGGTCTTAACCTCTATACGCTAATCCGACTTCTTAATTATATAGTTATAATAGTCGTACTTATAATAAAAACTATAAAATTTAGCAGTAGTAGATAGGGTAGCCTCCCTATCCTTCTTGGTTTCTTTGGTTTTTCTAACGGGAACTTCCCTTTAGTAGTTGGCGATATTGGGTTTTGTTAGTTCGGTTGGCTAAGGAACGCAGTTAACTAAATCGATATACTTTTAAAGATTTAGGTCTTAGGCTATAGAGATAAAGGCATCTTCTTAAGCCGGCTAATCCTTAGGACTGTTAAAGGCAACGTTATTAGTTTTAGTCGTAAATATTATTAGTAATCGTTTAGTCGGTTGTCATTATTAGCGATAGTTTTAATAGTTGAATTAATAAAATTCTTAATTATAATATTATTAGTAATAATCGATATAGGTTCAACGTAGCTTGATTGTGTATATGTATATAAGACTAGCTCTACAGATTTGAAGCTCTAGCATCTGGGTAAAAATCCCGCATATCCTAGTCTAGCTGGGCACGTGCACGCCCAGTGGATCCCCTGGCCTCTGACAATATCATACTGAGGCCGATTTCCAAGACCACCATAGGATCCACAGGACTTAAAATATCTTTGTGTTTTTTTTTGACTGTTTTGGTTACTCTTCAGCCTTTTTTGGTTTTTTTTTGCTTTCAGTCACTCATCCCTATAACCCCCAACGATTATAGACAGAAGGAAGAAACCCAAGACACCACTCAAATATCAATAGGAACAGCATCAGGGTACCTCGTCCCGGCAATCTCAATAAACGTCATTCAAAATTAAGTCAACCGCCAGTCAGAAAAAGCACGTACTTCTTATTGTTGGAGCAGAACCAGAACAACACCGTCTAAAACTTGCCCCTACTACCTAGCAACCTTGCTACAGTAGGGGTGTATCATATACGCCGAACCCAGCAACAAGAAAGAGCCCTCTTGAACTTCATGGAACAACAAACGTCTATGTCTTTCATCCATATAACACCGCACCACTCGATATCTCGCTATTCAGAAACAGGTAGATCAACCAGTTAACTCTTCACACAAATGAGTCCATATTCCACAACCTGGCACAAGCAAGAGCACCAACATCAACACCAACGCCATCCATCTATCCTCCAACACCTCTCTCTGTTCCTCTAAACCTCAACCTTCCCCTCAACAAAGAAACCAAAAAGTAAACCCATCACACAAGGAACCCCGCTCAAACAATCCCCATCCCCATAACCCCCAAAGAATCCCACATCGCCCTCCCCGGCTCACTATGCAACGAATCCACCCAAGGGAACCTTAACAAACACTCTCTTATCCCCCTTGTCGTCCCAATCCCACTACTACCCCCTTCAGCAGTCCCTTGTGGTGGTGTCCCAGATCCTTCCCACTCCAAAATCCCCATCACCCCCCACGCCAACTCCTGCAGCTTAGGCGCCAACCACTTTTGTTCTTCAGGTCCCGCTAGCACCGAGATCCCGCCTATGTGGAGGAGCCAGAGGAGGGTTTGGTTTTCTATGTCATCACTGCTTTCTGACCCTTGTGTGGATCCTGTGGTGGCAAGAGAGGAGTGAAAATCCCAGTCGTTGATTAAGGAAGTTATGCAATCTTTTACCAACTCGTAGCGTAAGAAGCGACGACGACCGAATTGCAGGAATAAAGTAGTAGTTAAAGCGATGAGGCCTAGGTGGATTGCTGATTCTATGCGGGATTGTTGTTTCGTTGGTGGTGGCGGTGGCGGTTGTCGTTTTCCTCTTTGGGGGGTTTGGTTGTAGTAAGACAGCGGCCGGAAGCGAATCAAGCGGCACCCCACCGACACGAGAAACTCTTGGAGGGTGTGTGGGTCGAAACGGAAGTTGAGGAAGGGGGAGTTGAGGAGATGTGTGATGGATAGGACGTCGGAGAGGATTTGCGAGAGGAAGGGGTGGATTTGGATTTGTTGTTGGACGCTGCCGAGGCCACCGGGGGATGATAGTGATGATGATGGCGAGATGGGAGAGAGAGAGAAGAATGGGGAGGGAGGAGAAGAAAGGATGAAGCCTTCGGAGAGAAGACGGGCGCGGATGGAAGACATGCGGTCCCGGTAGAAGGGGGCGGGGATGGGAGTGCCGCGGTGGAGGGCATAGTCTACTGCTGTTCTGTTGATGTGGAGAAAGGAGATGTTAGTGGCTGGTTGCACAGGTTCGGTGGTTGAGAATGACATGAAGGATTGGCAGGGGATGAAGGATGAAAGGATGGAAGGATTCATGCCAGGCCGGCGACTTACTTGCTTATTTTGATACCCAGCGGATTCTCCTCCCCCAGTGAGTTCAAACCGCCACGTAACTCTAGCATCCTCTGGAGACCCTTTAAGTGGACTTCAGCCTTGGACTTCATCGAGTCCCTCAGCAACTCTTGGATGACAAGAAAGTTGACAACGGCAAGGTTGGAGTCCGACAAGGCGCCATTGGTCTCCAGCGTCCGGTTGACCATGTGGATGGCCTGACTGAGATGGTAGATGGCGTCTGGTGTTAGGGCTTGATCGCCGAAGAAGAAGTCACTGAGGGCAGCCATTAGGGCTATGGCACAATGGAATGCTAGCGGGGAATAGTAGGTCAGTTCGGATTCTCACTCTTCTTGCCTATTATGTGAAGGGAAACGGTGATGATTGGTAGTGAAAGGTTCGGCTTACAAGTCCTGTCTTGGAAGAGATTGCTCATCCAATAGTCGTATGCCTTCGCAGCACCTCGGACTAGTTGGGGAGGGTAGAGTGCATCGATGACAATGCCGAAGACTAGATAGGTGTAAGTGTTAGTAAGTGTGGGAGATAGTGAAGGGGTGCACTAACAGGACTCACATTGGCTGATGACATATTGACTCTGTGGAGTTGCTTGGACGGGGAAGGCAAGGGCAAATAAGCTGTCTCGTGCTCCCAGTGTCGTGTTGAGAGCTTTCTGGGTGTGTGCTTCGAGAATAAGGGACTGTTGCACTTGCTGGCCTTGGAATGAGGTGTCCACTGGAGGTGAGGAGAGGGTATCCACAATGTAACCATCGATTTCGTGGTTCTCGACGTCGGCCAACCAGTCAAGGTTGTCCAGATCATCGAGGAAGAGGAAGTCGTTGCTGGTTAGATCTGTGACGCTCGAAGCTGGAGTTGTGATGTAGCTGCTGCTTCTCGTGGAGCTTGAGCCGTCACTGGGACTAGGGGTCTCTTCTGGACTCTTGCTCCTACTCTTGGTGCTACTCGGTCTGCTGGTGCTGGTGCTGACGCTGGTGGGTTGCTGTCCCTGCTGAGGGAGGAGGTTACGCGCAGTGGACGACGTGCATGCTTTCTTGGACGGCCGGGGTGTATGTAGATCTAACTCAAGCCTTGATCGACGGTGAAGCACCTTGCCGACATTCTTCCCCTTCATGGCATGACTTCGAACCAGTCTCCTGGTGACCCTATCGGTCTTGGTCGAGTCTATGAACTGGAACCCTTTGCCCATCGTGAGTGTGTTTGTGTTGGAGTGATCGATTGTGTCTGCAGGCTTGCTCAACGATCGGGATGGCCAGTATCAGATAGGAATCGTAGGATTTAGAAGAAGGAAGGGGGAGGTCGGAGGTGTAGGATGAATCAGAATGATAAGGGGATTTTGCAGTCTGTTACATCGATGGCGCGCAGAAGAGGGTGTAATGTATGCGAGTGTATGGATTCCAGAATATGTAAATGTGCAGACAGAACGATTGCCCACCGGCCTCGTCGGAAAGGAAACCGATATGTCTTGGTTTCAGACAAAGGAGAGCCCTCCCAACCGGGTACCAAGAAGCGGACAGAGCAGTGTGATAGGGACTTGTGGCTTCGCTTCAGCCTTAGGCTGGTGCGAGGATCTTTTGCATGCTTTCAGCTATGGGAAATGACAAATCTACCGTTAACAAGTGCCGGACATAAGAAACGTGAGATGAACGTGTGACTTTGGCCAATGGCACAGAGCGGCACGACGCTGTGGCTGTCTTTGGATCCCTCATCCTCCTGATTGATGAATACTCGGTAGAGATATGCACTTAAGCGGTTGAGTATTCACTTACTCCACAGCATTTAGGGATGCGTTAGGCAGCCCCACAGCAAAAGTTCCACACTTCACACCTTAAATCGCAATCTGCCAATCAAGTGTGATCTGAAACGACCCCTGTCCGTCCATCATCAGAGTTCTGACGACGACGAGATCCCGCGCGCTCAATTCACCGCTGGGGACGAGGGCATCCGCGGGATTGGATCAGCCCTTCAAGGCTTCGAGGATGGTTAGGTAAGCGAGGGTAAGGTGACAGTCAAGACCAACAGTCGCTCGGAGCGGCCACCAGCGGCGCGACTGTCACTCCGTCACTCTGTCTGCATTTCCTTACGACCTGGGAACGGGCGAACCCGAGTGAACTTGACCAATCACAGAACATTTTCCCGATTAGGACAATGCTTTCAATGGGCTCTCGAAACGAAAGCAGCACAGCGATACCAGACGACTGAACTGACGATATTCCACATCCGTGGCAAAGCTTCTTCCAACTGGAACATTTCAGCGATTATCAAGCTTTTTTGTTTGTTTCTCCATGCCGAGAGATTGGTAACCAACGGACTTAAGGCTGGACTCAACATACGTTATCTCCAGCCGCCATGGACCAAGTGGTCCCTTCCGCTTCTTTTGAGGCCTGCATGCTGGCGAATCCGCCAGGAACACACGAGGAATCCTATGCTGCAATAGAGACCAAACCTCACACGTCCGAATCCGGTATCTAGTCTGATACTGGGTTTGCAAAGTTCCGCCCGCCCTGATCTCTCGGATCTCGGGAGCACAAGTCCTCCACGCCGCAGATATAAATCAGGCCACCCCAAGAGACACAAGGACTTCTTATCCCCATCCTCATCTCATCAGCATCACAAGACTTCAGTTGACTCTTACCTAAACTCATACCCGCCTCAAAACACATCTTCACTCTCAGGAGCGCATTACTGTCCTCACCAACAACCAACATCGCAACCATGCCTCAGCTCGTCGGAAAGCAAGTTGGCCCCACTGGCTACGGCCTCATGGGTACGTGGCCCGACCCCTACAGCCCCCTGCCAAGAGAACGCAGCCCAAACTAACTAACCTTTCCCCAGGCTTCTGCACCAAGAACCCTCCCACCCCTCAAGAGCAAGCCTTCAAGGCCATGCGCGCCGCCCTTGAGTCCGGCGCCAACTTCTGGAACGCCGGTGAATTCTACGGCTCGCCCGACTGGAACACCCAAAAGCTTCTGGCCGCCTACTTCAAGCAGTACCCCGAAGACGCCGAGAAGGTCGTCCTCTCCGTCAAGGGCGCCTTCCTCTTCCCGCAGATGGTCCCCGACTGCTCTCCCGCCGGCCTCAAGCGGTCCATCGACGCCTGTCTCGCCGACCTGGACGGCACCCACAAGATCGACATCTTCGAGCCCGCCCGCGTCGACCCCAAGGTGCCGCTTGAGGAGATGCTCAAGTACCTTGAAGACGAGTACGTCAGCAAGGGCGTCATCGGTGGCATCGGTCTATCTGAGGTTTCGGCCGCGACTATTCGCAAGGCGGTCAAGATCACCAAGATCGCTGCGGTGGAGGTCGAGATCTCCCTTTGGGCGACGCACACGCTTGAGAACGGTGTCGCTGAGGCTTGTGCTGAGTTTGGCATTCCGTTGATTGCGTACTCGCCCATCGGCCAGGGCATGCTCACCGGCCAGATCAAGACGCTTGATGATCTGCCCGCGGACGACTTCCGCAGGCATTACCCCCGATTCTACCCGGAGAACTTCCACTTGAACATTCAGCTGGTTAGCGAGCTGAATGATCTGGCTAAGAAGAAGGGGTTCACGCCCGCGCAGTTGGCGATCAACTGGGTCAAGTCGCTGAGCAAGAAGCCCGGTTACCCGACGGTTATCCCGATCCCCGGTGCGACTACCGCGGAGAGGGTAAAGGAGAATAATGTGGATATCGAGTTGACTAGCGAGTATTTGGAGAAGATTGATGAGACGTTGAAGAAGTTTGAGATTGCCGGGAGGAGGTACCCTGATGCTGTTCCTATTGACACCTAAGTGGTGTCTATGTCTGGTTTCTTCCTTGGCTACCTTACCATACATAGACTCGACAGGTTTCTTTGTCACGGCCTTTCATCACTTGTTCAGGAAATTACAATGGCGCATGACAATACACGAGAAAGCCAACAGAAGGAGAGTGGGATTAGACATTAGGTACTCAATTCAGTCTGCTTCGTCTTTACCAGGTATCCCCTGTTTAGTTTGTGTGAGCATCCAAAAAGAGTTGCAACGTCCCTCACTACGATGACTCCTGCCCTTCTATCATGTTTCCTTCCCCCCTCGCACCTTTCAGCACACATCGAATACAAAAAAAAAGATGCAAAAAAAGGAAGGAACGGCTCGAGCCCGGATTCGAACCGGGGACCTTTCCGGTCGTTACAGCGGCTGGGTCTGAGCTTTCTAGGGGTCGGTAGCGGTTCCAGCGGGCAGGAACCAGCTACAGCACCTGCAGTATAGGGGCTTGACAAGAGACCACAGGGCACTCCCCAGCTATCAATCTCCCTGTGCGTAACGAGACGCGCGGAACGTGTACACCACTGGCTGGCCAGACCAGCGCACCACACCGCTCGACCAAAGTCCCTCAAGTTGTTGGGAAAGTACGACCACCTTCTCCCTTTTATGCTTGGTACCACCTGCCGCATACACAATCATTTTCAATATCCCGACTTGGGCAAGCAGGTGCAAGGGGTTGCATTTTGACTTTGGATCGTTCTTTTATATTGACACGATCAAATGGTTTAAGAAGAGGGGTTGGAGATCACTGATGCTGTCGCTCTGATGGCTCTGTCCCATTTGCTCTCCGTCGCTCTTTCTTGGATACTTCCCGACCACCAGTCTGGGGAAGGAACAACTGTCCTGACACCAACATCACTTTTTGTTCTGGATAATCTAAGAAACGGGATAGTGCGACCACTTCCCTTCCCGGTTTATTGTTCAACTCTTCCTTCCTTCCTTCCTTCGATGCAATGTGAACCCGCCGTTTCTCGGCAGCGGATGGTTGGCACGGAGGGTTTACGCACTCCCATGCAAGGTGGTGGCACGGCTCTGCTTCAACTTCCGGAGGCTCATTCAGCACGGCACCACTCCGATTGGGTTCTCAAATTCTCGAAGATCACGATAATTTCTACCTACCAAAACAAAACTCCGTAACTGCTTTGATCTCTCGCCTACCAAGTCAACTTGTTTACCCGATCCTCACCAACCACGGCACACCACTCCCACCCGCAACAAACCCACACAACCTACAACTCCTCATGAGGCGTACTCATCGGCCTCTTACCATCACCCCCGCTTCCCGCCCCCTCCTTCCCCCATCCTTCAGTCCACCCCTCCACCACCCTCGGAATCCCATGATACCCATCAAAGTACCCCTCGGGATCATACTCCCTCTTAAGTCTTGTCAGCCTCTCCCACCGCCACTCCTCATACCCAAACAGCGCCTGCAGCGGCTCATCCCGATTCGCATAATTGATATACGCATACAGCCGCTCATATCCACTATTCTCCGGCCTGGCCAGCAAATCTCTCGTCTCCCTTCCCCACGCATCTGCCACCTCATTGAGCGAGGGATCGTCCCATGTAACCTGGATGATGGCGTTGGTAATCATCTTTCCTCTGTGCGGGTAGGCGGTGGACTCGTCGGGCACAGAAGCGATGGCGTGCGGAGAGGCAGCTTCGAAGAGGAGGATGGAGCGGTTGGCTGCCGGGTAGGCCGCGATGAAGGAGGAGTAGTAAGCGTAGACGGCTTTCATGCTCTCGGGGGAGAAGAGGGTGGGGGAGGAGGCGGTGTAGAGGTCTTGGGAGAGGGAGTTTGCGCAGATGCCCGGGAGAGCGGCGCCGGAGCCGAGGTCGGCGAAGGTGATGAGCGTTTCGTTGAAGTGGGTGCGGGTGATTTTCTGAGAAGAGGCAGTAGTGGAGGATGAAGAGGCGAACTTGGCGGAGACGAATTTGCCGGCTTCAGTGTCGTGGGCGGAGACGATGTTGATGAAGAGGACGGGTTTCATGGCGGTGGAGTCAAAGAGGTAGCCGAGGATGAGGAAGACGGAGGGGTCGAGGCCGCCTTCGATTACTTCTTTGGTGATTTGGAGGACGGAGTCGATGGAGTCGTCGGTGAACACCATGTCGGCGTTGTAGTGCATGCCGCCCTCGTCGGGATAGGTCTTGAAGGTCGACTCGACGACGACGCCGAAGTTGTGGCCGGCGCCGCGCATGCCCCAGAATAGGTCCGGGTGAGAGGTCTCGGAGGCCTCGACGATGGTGCCGTTCCAGAGAGCAACTTTGATGCGGAGAAGCGAGTCGATCATTAGGCCGTGCTTGCCCATGAGACGACCCATACCGCCGCCGAGTAGGACACCGTGAGTGCCGACGCATGGGAACGAGCCGATAGCTTTAATAGGTGGTTAGCATTGGAACGAAAAGAAGAGGTAAACAGGTCAGACTCACTCATTTCTCTACCCTCGGCGTGCAACCGAGGGATGATATCCTGCATTCTCGCTCCTCCCCCGACGGTCACTGTCATCCCCTCCCCTTCCTTCCCAAAGACGACATGGCGGAAGTTCTCCATGTTGACTTGGACAAGTTCATCATATGTCGTACCAAGGGTAGGACTGTTTCCATGGCCGCCCGCTTTGGTGGCTAGCAATCTCTGCTTGATTTTTGCCAAGTAGGCAATCTGTGGTGATGTTAGCCTGGGGAAGATCAAAGGAGGAAGCAGAAAGTACTTACACCTTGAGATAACTCATCCTCAGTCTTTGGCTTAAAGACACCCGTGAACTTGGGGGCTGAGTAGCTGGACCAACGCCTGACGTGGGTATCAAAGTCCGGCCAGTCTGAGCTATGGAACGCGAGGGCTTGTGGAGGTTTGGGAATAGCTTCTGCGAAGACACAAGGGATTAGGGTTATCGCTGCCATGAAGGCACCCACTTTAATGGGGAACATGATTCAAAAAAAGTTTTCTTGATCGAGGTAGTTCAAGCGCAAAGAGATGGATGAACAAAGGAACTACAAAACTCAGAGTACTTGGGGAGAAGCCAAGCCTCAAATACCCCGAGTCCATGGCAGAAAAATTAATCATCGCCATCATCACAGTGTTTTGACCTTGACTTAGACCGTTGTAACCATGCATCTCTCCATGGCGATGGTGTTTTTCTTTGGAAGCGGGACGGATTTAGCTGGGAATAGGCTATTACACGCCAACTTTTTCTCGTTGAGTCTCGTCGAGAGCGGCCGCTAACCGTTTACCGGATACTAAAGCGTTCCATCAGGTTAGTCAACTTAGTCATTGTTCAGATATAGAATTTGGATTAGAAATCGTTGAAGTGTTGTAAGGGTGCGTGATCTGAATCTCGCATTGACATTTGACAAACTGGGCGTGGATTGCGAGGGACAAAATTCCATGCATATGTATAAACCCCGCCGGTGTCATCGATCAACACCAGATCTAGCATTGGGTTTCATCGCTTCTAGGCTATAGCTCGCCTTCTACTCAGAGTCCTACTCTGCTTTAAGTCGGGTGAGGTGATCGAGATGGCATCAGCTGAATAAAGGTGATCATGCCATCACTTCTGTGCATAAAGAAGTAACAGGATTGCAAACTTCATAGGGAAAGGTGTATAATCAGTGTCGAGATCCATGCAACTAAGTTGGAAGCTCAGAGACTCAGAGACCCCGTCAGTGTATGCTCGGAAACCGGAAACCGGAAATCGAAACACTTGCGGTGCTAAACAAGGAGGGTCAGGTTGGATAGTATGCTGTGTCATGTCAAGCAAATAGTTGAAGAGTCTAGATTTGAGATATGAGAGACTATTTGTGCAACATACCTCTAGGCTGTTACGCCGACAATGGCTTTTGGATATCGTACCCCAAGAACTTCAACCAAGCTTTTTCCACAGGCGAAGCCAAAAAAACAAGCTTCGCCAAGGGCGGGAGGGAAGAACACCCAAGAAGCAGCAATACACTCAGCTCAATTTCCAGTGCATACACATCGTGTTCTCAGCTCCGACATCTGGCATCGTGATCGCGAAGCTCTGCAGAGAAACGGGAGCCTTCGTATGTAGGTCCCGTCCATGTGCAAAAGCAACAGCAACGGTATCATCAATAGCGGGGGTTGTATTAGTGGGTAGTAGAATCGAACGATTGTGTGTCGAGTTTCTAGAAGACATCATGATCGGATAGACCGAATTGGTAAATGCTCTCGGTGTTGTTCCGTGTTGTGTCGTGTTGGGCAGTGTTGTGTCGTGATGCTTGGATCCTGTGCGTGCGTGCGGCGTCGCTTGTCATGTTCAACTCCCAAGCAGCAAGCAGCAAGCTGAGTCGGACCGTTGGTGGCTGAGGGCTATGTTTCTTTCGGTTGGGCTTGCGCGTTAGGTTATTAATAATGGGGACGTATTGGATTGCTTCTCGAAGGTCCGTTTCGCAATCTGATGAACTGGGTTGAGGTTTACGATCATTATTGATGGAAGGGGTTGAGGCAGAAATTGGCGACAAGCCCACGAGCTCGTCGAGATCGTTTGACGTTGCTGGTGGGGCACGGTGGTGGGGTCGAGCGATGGCGCTAGGATTATTGAGGAAAGGGAGATAGGCATATAAGTGTTAGTGGCTAGCAGCCAAACCCTGCTGATTCTACCGCTAAGCTTAATGTTTCTTAACAGAGGCAGCGAACTGTAGTTGGATAACGTTCCCGCTACACTCCGAGAACCGTCCCTTGAGGAACCTCACCTGCAAGATCTTCAAATCGACAACACCACCTCCATGACAAGGTCTCGTGATCTATCGCTTACAATTACATGAACCGTTAAGATGTCAGAGTCAGGCTCTTATGTACTGCAGGTCATGGTTCACAGCATATCCCAGCAGAATGGTTCAGGCGTGGAGGGTTGCCCATCCGCTCGCTCCCACCATCTGAAGATCTACCCGTTGGTTGGGGGCGCGATGACCACGACACCCTCAACAGACAAAAGTTGGGTCTTGTGTGGTTCAAACAGTAACTCTATTCCAAGTTCTCAAAGTCAAAAGATCAAAACGCCTATATTTAGCCTCTCTATCTCTATCGCGTTATAATAAGGAAAGACAAAAGGAAACAGTCAAGAGCAGCTCCATCTCCCCATCAATGTCCTCATCATCCTCAATCCATCCACGCCTTCGCATATCCAAGCTACTGCCCACGGCCCCTCGACTTAGCCCCAATCTGACGACCCTGAAAGTTCGACTCATGCGTAGACTTAGGGTTCTGGTTGGGGATAATAGGGTTGTAGTAGCTGAACAGGTTGTCGGGGTCATACTGAGCCTTCAACCCACGGAGCTTCTCCAACCTCCAGGGCTCATAACCGTACATAGACTCAGTCGACTCGTCTCCGTGGGCGTAGTTGACGTAGGTGCTTGGAAGAAGATCGGGGGCACCGGCGTTCCAGAGATCGCGAGTCTCTTTGGCCCAGGCAATAGCGGCTTCGTCGAGAGAGGGGTTGGGGTCGTAGGTTACGGCGATGAAGCTGGGTTTGGTGTTAGTGATGAAAGGGGAAAAGATGGGGGAAGGGGTAAGGACGTACCTAAGAAGACCCCTATCGCGCCACGGATAAGCCGAGGTATCGGGGTCGATAGCGTTGACGCCCTCGTGCGAGTAATCCTCCATGCTGACGGTCGTCCGCTGGAACTCGGGATACTGCCGGATCTTCTCGTTGTACAAGTCGTAGATCTGGCGCTGGGTAGTGACGTTCCAGACCTTCAGTCCTGCAGGGTAGTGGACGTGGTTCAAGCCGTAGTCACACAGCGCGCTGTTCATGCCGGTGCCGGACACGCCGGGGATATCGGGGTAAGGGACGTTACCGTCTTCGGTGGAGACCGCCTCGATGGCGTCGAAAGCATCCAGGTACGGTTGTGCTTCTTCCTTGGAGCCGCGGTAGACAAATGACCAGAAGATGACGCCTTCGGTCTCGCTGATGCTGGGGATAATGGTGTAGCTGCCCATGTTGAAGGCCATTTCTTTGAGGTGATGACCGGCGTGGTTTCCGTCGTTGTGGAAGTTGTTGGATGCTTCGAAGACCCTTTCCAGCTTGTCTTGGCTCCAGATGTAGGTCTTGTAGTACCAGGTGTCGACGCCGCGGGGGTAAATCTTCATCTCGAGGCTGGTGACGACGCCGAAGTTGTGGCCGGCTCCTTTCATGGCCCAGAAGAGATCGGGGTGTTCCGTCTCGGAGACGGTGATGGCGGTGCCGTTGGCGAGCACGACGTTGAGCTTGAGGAAGCTGTCGCTGACGACGCCGTAGTAGCCTTCGAGACGGCCGCGGCCACCGCCGAGAGCTGGTCCGAGGAGGCCAACGCAGGACGTGCTTCCGGATGCTAAGATTTGTGAGTATGGATATAGAGAGCATAGACAGAGAAGACTCACAGGTAACATAACCGGCACTCCACAACTTCTCCATGATGTTCTTCGCAAACACGCCGCCACCGAGGACGACGCTCTTTCCGTCTGGCTGGATTTCAATCTTGTCAAGGAGGGACATATCGATCTGCATACCGTCAAAATCTGACAACGTGCTTGTCATGCCGTGTCTCCGAGCCATGGCAAGGAAGGGGATGCCGTTGGCGTTGGCATATTGAACCTGGTTGGTGTCAGCTCTGTCCTTGTTACGAGTGACAAAAGGACTGGGGATATACAATCTTGGGGATGTCGTCCTCCGAGTCAGGCTGGACCACCATCTGAATCTTGGGAGTGAAGAAGGGGTCATATCGAGAGGTACAGTTACCGAATTGCGTATCATCGGGTCCGTAAACATTGGAGTTTGCTGAGAGCTGAGGACCCAGCTCACTGGCAACTGTCCTACTTGCCAACTTGTTGCGGGTGAAGTGACAAAGTCCGTTGAGGCATGGCTCCGGGGAAGCACAAGCGAGGGATTGCAAAAGAAGTGCTGAGGATACAGCGAAGCGGTGCAAACGGGTCATTTTGACTGCTGTTTTTCAGGCTGGCTTGTGATAAGATGGTGATGAGTTGATGTCGAACAGAACCCCTTAACCGTGGCACCTTTGACGGTTTATATGGATCTTCAACTGCGCGAAGAGGTGATCATCTTTACTACCAGACCTGCCTTTAGTCTTTCGAAATCATCATGATTCAAGACGACGAACTTTCAGCCAGTATCATGATATTTCCATCCAAAACCACCCAATTTTCCGCGCCGTCTTCGAGTGTCTGGAGGAGGAGCATCTCTGCAGGTGTCAACTCCATGGCGTTAACCAACCGCATCCTCGGGTGTTGACAGATTCTGTCCAGATGACAGGATAGCTTTGACGCCACTCCACCATGCGTATCTCTTCACGATCTCTTGATACGGACGAGGATATTTTGATGTTGTCTGCAGAACAGAAAACGGAAAGTGCTGGTCGAGCTTTGAGAGAATGAATACTGATGAATCATTCCAAGCTATCTGGCCGCCGTCCCGTCTGGTGAGGCATAAACAGATTCGCTTCTTTTCAATATCAACTCTGGTGAAGTTGAAAAAGAGTGATGTTACTTGGATGTTGTCAGAGGCTGAACTGAAAGGGACTGTAGTGGAGGGCACGTTACAGTCAAGACAGGGCTAGTGGGGTCCTTGACAGCTGATAGCGGCCGATAGGGAGCTGAGATGGCGGGGCTTCAGGGCTTATCGATAGTGGTTGCATTGGGTTACACTGGCAGCAGCCTGGCGAGCTGTGCCCTGAGCTGTGCCGCCGCAGCACGTTTGACGACACAACACCTTTTCCTCTGTCTGGTAACGTCCACGATCCAAGCATGCCACAAACGGGCACAGCTACGGACAAACGCGACAAGCGAGTGTCGATAGGCCTAAACGACTCCCAAGCCGCGATGCATAGCAGTGTGTCCTGTCGCACGTGGCAGAGATGCAAACCCAGTCGATCCGGGCATGTTAACTCCATCTGGCATAATACCATTCATGGACATCTACAACACAACAGCTTGGGATATGGATTGCTGTCAGTGTCACTGCGGCTAAGTCGTACGACCAACTTTTGTTGCTCTGCCCTGCCAAGGTGACAAGAGTGCAGTTCCGAATCTTCCACACCAGAGATGACCCGAAGACCCGGTTTGGCTTGACACCATCCTGGGCGTCAACCTTGATGCTCCTCCAACCGTCACGTTCGACATGAATCACCATCGGCCCGCAAACAGTTCAACACAAAAGTACGGCCGTGATTTTGAGGCAGAGCGTACCTTTGTTTACTCTCAGCCAGATTAGGAGAAAGATCAGTAGGTTTGATGCCTTCAGCTTTTCTATTACGTTTCCACGCTGACCGAAAAGCATGGCGAATTGGGGA